TGTTCAACTGGACCATGAGCTACCGAGCGGACGCTGACGTACCCATGCCCTATGGGAAGATGGTGGAAGTTCTGGTTCCACCAAACAGCAACAGCAGCAGCTATGTGATCCCTAAGAAAGGGGCTTGCCTAGCCAGCTGGGTGGTCAGCAACTACAGGCCTGACCATGCCAGGAGTCAAGTCTACCAGAGCCTGAGGAAGTACATTCCTATAGAGGTGTATGGACGCTGGCTAAAGAGGCCACTGACAGACCAAAGTCTGATACCCACCATTGGCCGCTGTAACTTCTACCTGGCATTTGAGAATTCAGTGGCCATAGACTACATCACTGAGAAGCTGTGGAGGAATGCCTACCTAGCAGGGGCAGTACCCGTGGTTCTGGGGCCCTCTCGGGCTAACTATGAGGCTTTTGTGCCCTCAGGCTCGTTCATCCATGTCAGTGACTTCAGCAGCACAGAGCGTCTGGCTGCCTTCCTACAGCAGCTGGCCACAGACAGAGGGCGCTATGAGGCTTACTTCAAGTGGCGTCAGACCCATGAAATCAAGACATACACAGACTGGAGAGAGAGGCTCTGTAATATCTGTATCAACTATCACAGACTGCCAGCTAACAAGGTGTACTATGATCTGGAGGGATGGGCCAATAGATAACACTCAAAAGCTGCTTTTACTGTAGGTTATTTGGTATCTTTGTTTTAGCCTAATATGTTCAACAACTTATGCTGTGCTGTACTTACAACAGGGCCAGTTTGTTCACATGCAAAAGGACACGGGTGAAACGTGAAATACATTCATTTATGCATTGTAGTGATGGTGTGTGACTTTCACATCCATAACAGACTGATGACATTACAACATTGCCTTTTGGTCCCCAATGCAGAAACACCACAGAGAAATCACAACTTCAGTTAAAAAAGGGAAGAGGAAGTATGAACGTGTACCCACAGTGTCCAATCACATGTAAGGTCCAATTGACTACATTCCAGCCTTTACAAGACCGAGAATAACCACAAATAAGGACATTACACAACCCTGTGGGCTGGCTCATAATGCTATTTCAATTGCACAAGGAAATGTCTTTCCCAGCAGTAATATTGAGGGTAAGCTTTCAATGATTTTTTTTCTCTCAGTATTTGGCTACTCATAGTACTCTACAGTACAGTTCATACCCTTCATAGGCAGTTGATGAATGTCCTCCATCTCACTCGGTTCAGGGCAAGTTTTTCCAGGTCACACCAGTTGAGGCCGCTCTCAGTCATTTCTGCCTGGATCTCTCTCCTCCGAGTGTTTCTGGGTTGACCACAAACCATAAACAAAGTCCCTGTACCAATTCTTAATCTAAACAATCCCTCTCAGAGAGATTACTGTGCACTGAAAGTTCTGCATGTCACTCAACTGAACCGTACTCCTCTGTAACCTAATGTAACTTTACGACTAATAGTGATGCATATGATTTAATTTATAGTGTCAATGCAGATTACACACCAAGGTTGCGTCCTATACCCTACATAGTGCATTTTATAGGGAATAGGGTGTCATTTCAGATGCAAAAACAGTTTCTGGTACAGATACTGAGGGGATGTTGCTTTATAATATCTTTATCTATGGATTCAGGGTACAATCCACCAATAACAGATCAACATGCAATAACAGCTCTGGCCACCAGAGTTCATGATTACCTAAACACTGAATAAACTTATAACGATATGCTTTATACATTTCTTATGAGTTTAGAGTACCTCATTACTTGTTTTAAAGGCTAGCTCAGCTATTAACATATATCTCCTGAGATCCAAGACAGTTGTTTGCATAACATCTAGTCTTTCTGGTTGATTTTCATTTTATAATAATCTTCACTTGAAGCTTTAAATCAGCTTGCAACAATATTGTCTATCATATTTTTTTTTAAACAGCACAGCAGACCATGTTGCAGTGAAGATAATATTCATATTTATTTTCCATGTTCATCTCTGATATGTCTTCATGCGTCATGTCCAGCAATCCCAGTAGCAGTAAGAGAGGTTGGTCATCTCTCAGGGTTGATGTGTTAATTCATCTGCTGTGTCCAGTTATTTAGAGAGGGCGGTTTTACTGTATAAAAGGGCAGTCACTAACCACTCCTGGAGATTCATAACCATCCACATTCATGAGAGAAAGCAAAGAGCATCTTTCAATCCATCAAACGAAGATGTCTGGAAAACCTGGGAATTTTGCGACAGTTATTTGCATTTTGTAACCCTAGGGGACAGTACTGATGTAGGTATATGGTAACAGTCAAAGAAGGTTTAGGTATGAAGTTAATCTTAACCAGTAATCTAGGGCTACATCAATGAATGGGTCCATTCTACGAGTCCAATACTCTTTCTGTCTCACATACGTTATTCTTGAGGCCCAAAAAGGCAAATAAAATCATCTGCACCCAAACAGCATCACATTACTGTATGTCTGACCACTTCCTTGTTCTTCAGAGAGAGTTGAGGCAGAGTTATGGGAACAGTTAAAGGAAAATTCCACCTAAAAACTCTCTTTTGTTATTCTTTTCATTAGTCCATGGTTGATATAGTCCCAAAATGTTTTGTATGTCAGCAATCAAGATATATAGCCGGTATGATGCATCATATGATGCTCAATGCATCATACCGGCTGTATTTATGCATTTTGAAAGTTATACATCTTGAAAACTTGATTGCTGACATGCAAGACATTTAGGGACTATATCATCCATGGACTAATGAACAGAATAACAAAAAGAGAGTTTTTGGGTGGAGTTGTCCTTTAAGTAAATAGAAGAGGTAATGTCACGCTTTCCTGAGAGATAACCACAGTAGGCAACTTCTGAACAGACTCTAGTGTGCGTCCCAAAGGGCACACCCTATTCCCTATATAGTGCACTACTTTTGACCACAAACTATAGTGCTTTCGTCAAAGCAATACCCTATATAAGGAATAGGGTGCCATTTTGAATGCAAATTAGGCTAAAGAAAAAAAAATTTTCTTTGACACAGCAATCAGAAATGTATAATAATAATAATAATAAGTGTACAAATACATAATTAGAGCCAGGTTGCCATCTCTCTGTACAGTACACATCAGTGGCTATTTACATAAATAACATCACAAATCATGTGACAAGCCATGTGTTTGTTTGATACTGTATATTCAGTGCTTGACTTGGACTGAAATATGTTCCGGTACTGTTTATATTTAGGTGCAGGAGCTCCACAATACTTTGGAGTTAATATTGTATTTAATAGGAACAGGAGCTCAAGCAGTAGAAACTTTGAGGTGCCGGTACTCAGCTCCGGTACTCAGCTCCGGTGAGCTCCTGCCCAAGTCAAGCACTGTGTACATGTATGTACATAATGGGGTTGCTCTGTTTCAGAGTTCTGTAAAGAAGTTCCAAATTCCTTTGAAATCATTCAAGTTATTTAAATATCATCATAAGCAAGTTTACACAAGAAACCTGTAAGGATCATAAATGCATATAGACTTTTATCCCTTTTTCAGCAGAGCACAGCGTCAAGTCATGCATAGAGGGATCATAGATACTGAGAATATAATGGCTACGTAACAGAGCTTAAAGGTTTACTATACATACTGCATGTGTATTTATGAAACATTAAAATCACGTTTGTATCTAAAAAAAAAAAAAAATACCACAATTTAACAAATGCAACTTTTTGGCAATGAAGAAAGTCAAAGATGAGTTGATTCAGATATCTAGAATGCATAATTAATGGTACCATATTCCCTATATACTGTAGTGCACTACTTTTGACCATGGTCTATAAGGCGCTGGCCAAAACTAGTGCACTATATAGGCAATAGGGTGCTATTTGGGACACAGATATTTAGTCTGGCCAATGATTACTGTTGACAGCTTCATCAATTGTAATATACCCACCATGCTCTGTTTCAAAGGCGTGGCCTAATGTCTGCAGTTCCATAATGATTTCTAGGACCAGTTCTCCAGACCCAGATTAAACCTATTCCTCAATTTAATTTTCAACAGAGATTATCCATGCTTTTCAGTCCTGGAGTAGGCTTGAACTTGGTCTGAGTCATACTGCAGTCTATGATTTAGGAAACGTGTATCTGGATTGGTGATTCAATTTCCCATTCTGCCTCTCACATAATCTCCCTTTTCATTATTACTAAAGGTTTTGTGGTTTGGACATTGGCCTGTACATTTCACTGTAAATCATGGTCTGTGTAACATTCAAAAGTATGACGCAAGTATCAAAGTTATTCTTCACAGATTGTGTAATGTAATAAATCATACACCCACAGGCCCATAACATATTTATTTTTTCACTGTAGTTCTTCCCTGCTCTCTTCCTGAACCTGTCTGTCGGTATCTGTCGTATGAAGCAGGGTAGTATTCATTAGTGCACACCGTACCATAACATCTTCCAACGGAACATGAAATCAAACATTTCTTGTTGAAAAGTTCAGGTATAGAATCTTGCAGAACATGGAAAATTTGACCCATCATCATACACATAAATCTCTCAGTCAGTTAGTTGGTTGTGCACGTGTTTGACAGAAATATTACAGAATCAAATCCACAAGAGATAACAGAGTTAACATATAACAAAACAAGGCATGGTTATGATAGGCCAGACGGAAAGCTTAAAGATCATGTAGGTTTTCTGAGAGTGTGAGACGTCATTGGTCCCAGATTTCAGTCTGTTTCAAGAGGAGATTCACGTCAGTCAGTCATTCAGATATAATGTCCATACAGTCCTCCTCCTCCTCCTCCTCCTCCTCCTCCTCCTCCTCCTCCTCCTCCTCCTCCTCCTCCTCCTCCTCCTCCTCCTCCTCCTCCTCCTCCTCCTCGCCATGTAAGTAGTGTATTATGTGGGACAACTCAAAAGGTTAGACAGAGAAACCTGATGAGTGTTTGTAGGTGTGTAAGGGATTGAGTGTGATTTCATCTTCCTGTACATGTAGGATGATATGTTTTATAGGTGCATATCAAAATGTCCAGGGTTGTCAGGGTTACTTGTGGCTCCTCTGAAGGTAAAGGGTGGAGTCATCAAACAAAGGATTCTTCACCTCCATCTCTCCCGTCTAGAGAGAGCAAAAGAGACAGAAAGAAAGAGAGAAAATATTGAAAGACAGAAAAAGAGGGAGAACGAAAGAAAGAGAGAAAGTTATTACACAGCTGAAACAAAAACGTGTGTATCTGTAGCCTACTGGAAATACACATGTATGTAAAATAAATGTACAGTATTTAACTAAAATGTATTCAAACTAAGAGGTAAATATATCTTGGATATCAGCTATCGCTGCCTCTCCATGTCTGCTAGTGTACTGCATGTCTGTGCATCAGGTAGGTCTGTCTCTTACTGGGGCCAGTCCAGGGCACTCGTACACCGTGAAATCACCATCCTCATTCTCCTCATCTGACGTGGCACCGGAGTCAGGCACCTTGGGTTCATCCCTGTGTCTGGAGAAAATGGAAAAACACAGAGTCATGGAGGTATCCAACCACATCACATAACATCCCAACCCACCCTGAGTCATGGAGGTATCCAACCTCATCACATAACATCCCAACCCACCCTGAGTCATGGAGGTATCCAACCACATCACATAACATCCCAACCCACCCTGAGTCATGGAGGTATCCAACCACATCACATAACATCCCAACCCACCCTGAGTCATGGAGGTATCCAACCTCATCACATAACATCCCAACCCACCCTGAGTCATGGAGGTATCCAACCACATCACATAACATCCCAACCCACCCTGAGTCATGGAGGTATCCAACCACATCACATAACATCCCAACCCACCCTGAGTCATGGAGGTATCCAACCACATCACATAACATCCCAACCCACCCTGAGTCATGGAGGTATCCAACCACATCACATAACATCCCAACCCACCCTGAGTCATGGAGGTATCCAACCACATCACATAACATCCCAACCCACACTGAGTCATGGAGGTATCCAACCACATCACATAACATCCCAACCCACCCTGAGTCATGGAGGTATCCAACCTCATCACATAACATCCCAACCCACCCTGAGTCATGGAGGTATCCAACCACATCACATAACATCCCAACCCACCCTGGGTCATGGAGGTATCCAACCTCATCACATAACATCCCAACCCACCCTGAGTCATGGAGGTATCCAACCACATCACATAACATCCCAACCCACCCTGAGTCATGGAGGTATCCAACCACATCACATAACATCCCAACCCACCCTGAGTCATGGAGGTATCCAACCACATCACATAACATCCCAACCCACCCTGAGTCATGGAGGTATCCAACCACATCACATAACATCCCAACCCACCCTGAGTCATGGAGGTATCCAACCACATCACATAACATCCCAACCCACCCTGAGTCATGGAGGTATCCAACCACATCACATAACATCCCAACCCACCCTGAGTCATGGAGGTATCCAACCACATCACATAACATCCCAACCCACCCTGAGTCATGGAGGTATCCAACCACATCACATAACATCCCAACCCACCCTGAGTCATGGAGGTATCCAACCACATCACATAACATCCCAACCCACCCTGAGTCATGGAGGTATCCAACCACATCACATAACATCCCAACCCACCCTGAGTCATGGAGGTATCCAACCACATCACATAACATCCCAACCCACCCTGAGTCATGGAGGTATCCAACCACATCACATAACATCCCAACCCACCCTGAGTCATGGAGGTATCCAACCACATCACATAACATCCCAACCCACCCTGAGTCATGGAGGTATCCAACCACATCACATAACATCCCAACCCACCCTGAGTCATGGAGGTATCCAACCACATCACATAACATCCCAACCCACCCTGAGTCATGGAGGTATCCAACCACATCACATAACATCCCAACCCACCCTGAGTCATGGAGGTATCCAACCACATCACATAACATCCCAACCCACCCTGAGTCATGGAGGTATCCAACCACATCACATAACATCCCAACCCACCCTGAGTCATGGAGGTATCCAACCACATCACATAACATCCCAACCCACCCTGAGTCATGGAGTTATCCAACCACATCACATAACATCCCAACCCACCCTGAGTCATGGAGGTATCCAACCACATCACATAACATCCCAACCCACCCTGGGTCATGGAGGTATCCAACCTCATCACATAACATCCCAACCCACCCTGAGTCATGGAGGTATCCAACCACATCACATAACATCCCAACCCACCCTGAGTCATGGAGGTATCCAACCACATCACATAACATCCCAACCCACCCTGAGTCATGGAGGTATCCAACCACATCACATAACATCCCAACCCACCCTGAGTCATGGAGGTATCCAACCACATCACATAACATCCCAACCCACCCTGAGTCATGGAGGTATCCAACCACATCACATAACATCCCAACCCACCCTGAGTCATGGAGGTATCCAACCACATCACATAACATCCCAACCCACCCTGAGTCATGGAGGTATCCAACCACATCACATAACATCCCAACCCACCCTGAGTCATGGAGGTATCCAACCACATCACATAACATCCCAACCCACCCTGAGTCATGGAGGTATCCAACCACATCACATAACATCCCAACCCACCCTGAGTCATGGAGGTATCCAACCACATCACATAACATCCCAACCCACCCTGAGTCATGGAGGTATCCAACCACATCACATAACATCCCAACCCACCCTGAGTCATGGAGGTATCCAACCTCATCACATAACATCCCAACCCACCCTGGGTCATGGACGTATCCAACCTCATCACATAACATCCCAACCCACCCTGAGTCATGGAGGTATCCAACCACATCACATAACATCCCAACCCACCCTGAGTCATGGAGGTATCCAACCACATCACATAACATCCCAACCCACCCTGAGTCATGGAGGTATCCAACCACATCACATAACATCCCAACCCACCCTGAGTCATGGAGGTATCCAACCACATCACATAACATCCCAACCCACCATTCACCCAGGAGAACACAGACTGACAGGAGGACAGGGGAGGAGATGGGAAGGAAGAGGAGGAGAAAAGGGAAGTGTCTGGAAACATTAATAGTTTACTTCCTCCATACCCCCCTCCCCTCAAATCCTCTTAAAACACACTGGACCTTGGACCTCACCAATTAGAATCGGGAAGCAAGAAATGGATAGCTAGTAACATTTTTAGACAGCCAGGGACAGAGGGCAGACAGATAGATATGTCTGGGGGGCATTACTCACTTTTCCAGGCAGAGCATCTGCTGTTTCTGGTGTTGGTAGTGGTACATCTGGGCACTCTGAGCCAGCCTCTTATCCCCAAGCTGCAGGCAGAACACAGAGGGACATGAGAGGGTATGGCTCTAAACTAGACGCCGTTTCAATATAACATTTATCGTACAGAAGATGTGTTTGCTTCCATGTGATTAGTATGGTATCAAATCAAACTTTTGATTTATTTAAAATAAAAAAACACTTTACAGTAAAACAATAAAATGAAGGAGATAAAATAAACAGATGGCAATTAATTAAATGTATAAAATAACATCAAACATAAACGGTCTTAACTGACATGAATATGATCTGTTGTAACCATGACTGTTTGATTGTGTGCTGTACTGTACTTACCACATCGTTGTCATAGGAACGGGGCCCCATCCCCCCATAAACTGGGTAGTCTACCTTCTGAGACAGTCGCACACCTCTCTGCAACCTGGGATAAGATGGCGGACATCATGATTAGTTTCCCATAACCACATTATGAAACTACATGACAATTATGAAAATGAGTCAGTGCATTTAACTAAGTTTAGTAGGGAACAACAACCACATATCACAGTTATCGCAGACCATTCTTCCACATAGCCGGTATCAGCTAAATCAGTGCAAAACAGATGTAGTTTTACCTAATCCAACAGACACCAGCCAAGAGCAAGGCAACAGATCCCACGACCACAAACACACTGGTCATGACTGTGAAGAGATAGAGAAAGAGTGTCAGGAAAAGAGAATAGAAACATCTGGCAGAGGAAGAGATATTATCCAGAATACGGAGTAAGGTACTGGGTTTGTTTGTGGGATGCATCTCAATTGCATTTCCTCGATTCCTCACATCCTTTCTCCTTGGAACCTCCGACCTTCTACTTCAATGTACTTTGAGAGGGAGACGAGGAGGGAGGACGTGATGAATCAAGGAAATACAATTTAGAATCACCCATGTACGAGAAGGGAGGACAGGAAAGAGTCCATTCGCAAAACTTCAATATTAACAGGCAAGAGCAGTGACAGTCAGTGCAGCATTCACAAGAGCAGTGACAGTCAGTGCAGCATTCACAAGAGCAGTGACAGTCAGTGCAGCATTCACAAGAGCAGTGACAGTCAGTGCAGCATTCACAAGAGCAGTGACAGTCAGTGCAGCATTCACAAGAGCAGTGACAGTCAGTGCAGCATTCACAAGAACAGTGACAGTCAATGCAGCATTCACAAGAGCAGTGACAGTCAGTGCAGTATTCACAAGAGCAGTGACAGTCAATGCAGCATTCACAAGAGCAGTGACAGTCAATGCAGCATTCACAAGAGCAGTGACAGTCAGTGCAGCATTCACAAGAGCAGTGACAGTCAGTGCAGCATTCACAAGAGCAGTGACAGTCAGTGCAGCATTCACAAGAACAGTGACAGTCAATGCAGCATTCACAAGAACAGTGACAGTCAATGCAGCATTCACAAGAGCAGTGACAGTCAGTGCAGCATTCACAAGAGCAGTGACAGTCAGTGCAGCATTCACAAGAGCAGTGACAGTCAGTGCAGCATTCACAAGAGCAGTGACAGTCAGTGCAGCATTCACAAGAGCAGCAGGGTGTGGAGAAATAAATTCTCAACACAGATCGGGGAATAATGGTTCCCTTATTAGAAATATGTGTCAACTGGCACTGAAAATGATTAACAAGGATTAAGGTTACATACTGATAAACACACGATTGTTGGAGGGGTAAGGGATGATCAGGGGACCGCTGCGTACTGCTGGGGTGTGGCTGGTAGTGGTGGTGTTGGCTGTAGTGATAGAGTTGGGTGGAGGGACTGTAGTGCTGCCGTGTGTCATAGGCTGCTCTGTGGTAGGCCGTTGGGTGAGGACCATTGATCTGTCATCCTTCTCCTCCTTGACTTTAGTAACATCCTGAAAGGGAGGAGCTAGGAGGAGACACAAAAAGAAAATATAATTAAATGGTAATTGATAGCAAGGCAAAACTACTTCTACTACTAACTTAGCAAATCGTATTATATTACTGGTCACATTATGCTAATACTATATGCAATTAGTAAAAGCTTTGTCAATCAATCAAAGCTTCTGAAGTGGCACCCTCTGGGACAGGCCAAAGGAGAGGATGGGAGGTTTGTCCTCTCACCTGGATGTTTGACCCCTGATTCAGTCTTCTGTTGGCTGATGATGGTGGACAGGAAGTCTATCTCCTCATCCACTTCAGGGAAAATGGTCACTTTGCCTGCAGCAAAAAGTAGACAGAAGATGTTGGTCATTGGGTTTCAATGATTAGAAATACTGCCTCATCGTTGCGTAATGGTTTTTGCATTTCTAACGGAATTTCACATTTGCCATGTGAGGGAAAGAGAGGAGAGGATGGAAGAAGAGAGGAGAGGAGAGGATGGGAGAAGAGAGGAGAGGAGAGGAGAAGAGAGGATGTGAGAAGAGAGGAGAGAAGAGAGGATGGGAGAAAAGAGGAGAGGGTGGGAAGAAGAGGATTTCGCGATGTAGACTCTACCTTCTGAAATTCCTCCTGCAGCTGGCTTGGTCAGATCGCTTCGTCTGGTCGACTGCTCTCCTCATCGCTTCCGCTATGGTCTCCGCTCTCCTCGCTTCCTTCTGTCCGTGGCCCGCTCGTTTCCCGCTTCGTTCGCCTCTCTCTTGAGCCCTCGCGCTTTTCTGCTCTCGCTTGATCGCCGCTCTCGCTATTTTCCGCCTGGGGCGATTGCTCGCGATGCTTTCTCCGTGCTCGCGCTTCTGTTCTGTCCTCCCTCGCCTCTCTTCTTTGCTCCTCTTTGCTCCTCTCTTTGCCCTCCTCTTCTCCCTCCTTCGCTTCCCTCTCCCTCTCTTCTCGTCTTTCTCCTTCTCTCGCTCTCTCTGTTCTTCCGCTTCTCCCCCCTTCCTCTTCTCCTTCTTTCTCCTGCCTCTCTCCCTTTTCTCCTCTCTCTCGCTTCTCTTTCCTTCTTTCTTTCTCCCTTTTTCCCTTTTCCCCCTTCTCTCTCCCCTCTTTTCGTCCTCTCTTCTGTCTCCTCCGTCTCCTTCTTCTCCCGCTCTCCTCGCTTCTCTTCTCCCTCGTTGCTTCTCCGTCTCTCCTCTCGCTTCTCTCTCTCCTCTCTCTTCTCTCCTCCCTCCCCGCTCTCTTCTTCTGGCCCCTCTCTTTCGCTTCTCCTCCTCGCTCCCTCTTCCTTTTTCCCCTCCTCTCTTCTCTTCTTTTCTCCTCGCTTTTCCCCTCTCTCTCGCTGTCCTCCCTTCTCTCCTCTCTTCTCTGCTTTTCCTCTCTCTCTTCTTTCTCCTCTCTCTTTCCCTCTTCTCTCTCTCTTCTCCCTTCTTCTCTCCTTCTTCTCCTCTTTTTTTCTCCCTCCCTCTTCTCCTCTTCCTCCTCTCTCTCCTCCTCCCCCCATTTCCGTTTGGTCGACTCTACATCACCAATGATGACCTCCTCTCCTCCCCCCCCCCCCCCCCTACTATAGTACCCTATGGACTTTTGCCCCAGCTAGCCCCCTTCATCTGTTCTCGTCATCAGATACTAACGACATAGGCTACACCTATTCAACTACTGATATCCATACAGAATGAAACACTGAAATAACAGTCATAGCCACTGTACTGTATAGATCAAGCGTCTATTCATCCTATATAATCTTATTAATAGACATGCTGTGGGTCAGGTTGGGAGATCAACAGGAAAACCACAGCACTGCTGACTAAGGGAAATACAAAGTCTCTGCTAGTTGACTTGAGAGCAATACATTTTAATGAGGAGCTAACATGGCTACCATACGGAATTACAGTGTCATGTAAATGCATCATTAAGCAGTAAGGCATGAGAACCCGGGGATTATTGTGAGAATAACACCCGACTAAGGGCTGTTCTTAGGCCCGAAGTGAAGCCAAGAAAAAAACCCAAATGGAAGACAGTGTCTAGATGCCATGGGAGATGAAGTTTATGAATTGCCTGGCTGGGCTGTGGGACAGTGGATGCGTATTGATAATTAAAATGGAACTGATAACATGCATTACATGGGGACTGTGGAGAATAACTCCCCGCTATCAACCATTCCGCATTCAGGATCCAAACAACCTGTTTTATAATATTTCATAATGTATATAAATATAATATATGGCTCTCCGTGACTCCATCCATATACCCTACACCACAGGAGGTTGGTGGCACCTTAATTGGGGAGAACAGGCTTGTGGTAATGACTGGTGGAATCAGTGGAACGGTATCAACTACACCAAACACATGGTTTCCATGGTTTCCAGGTGTTTGATGCCATTCTATTTGCTCCGTTCTGGCTATTATTATGAGCCGTCCTCCCCTCAGCAATCTCCACTGCCCCATACTGGTACGCAGGACAGGGAGGAATTCCAGTTAGAAAGAACTGCTCCATGCTGCCCCCATGTGGCCAGTGTGAAAACACACCTAAAAACAACAACAACAACAACAAGTGAATGGCCAATCAGATTAAGGATCCAAATCAAATAATTCATCAAGTACAAAAGCCTTTGAGCAAACAAACTTCAGCCTAGTATTGTATATGCATCAAATAGCTTTGTGTTGGCAGAGAGAACAAACTGCATGTTTACATTGGATTGGTGTGTGATCCATCATAAAGCATTACCGTGTCAACAGTAATTAATTACAATTTTTAGTGATAATTATGGTTAGTGCAGTGAGGTAATAAACTGCATAGCAGTACGGTGCTGTAAGTGTTAGAATGTGTGTGTGTGTGGCATCATGTAAGGTATGTGAAAGTGATGATGTGGCTCTGTGTGCCAGGGAGACAGACAGTTCTGACTGATGCATGGTGCAGTACTGTAGTGTGACTGAGTAAGCCAGTGATACTGTAATGTCGTGCTGGCTGGATCAGTGAGAGTGTGATTGAGTGAGTGTGTATCTATGACCGAGTGAATGTGAGGTGCTATTGTGTGTACCTGCATGAGGAAGAGCAGTGCAGTGTGTGTATGTATGTGAGAAAGTGGGTGGATATTGGTGAGAGTGGGTGAATGAGTGTGGTGCAGTGTGTGGGTGGATGGGTCGGCCTCTCTGTAATGCAGTGCTGCTCTGAGTGTGTGGGTGAAGGGCACAGAGGGAGGGAGAGAGAGAGAGAAACAGAGATAGAGAGATAGGAGGGAGAGAGAGATAGAGAGAGTCAGTAAGAAATGGAGAGGAGAGAGGTAGAGATGAAGAGAGTCTGGGAGAGAAACACAGAGATAAATACAGAGAGGGAAATGGAGAGAGAGAAAAATACATAGAGATAGAGAGAGTGAAAAATTGAGAGAGATACAGAGAGAGGAGAGAGAGATACAGAGAGAGAAGAAATAGAGATATACAGAAAGAGAGAACTACAGAGAGAGAGAGACACCCCATATAGGCCCCCTCAGATCAGACCTATGCCCCTCCTGCCCACCGAAACAGGGAAGAGACTCAGGGGGTATAGTAATTTGGTATAGAGCAGATCTATCCAACTATTAAATTAGTCAAAACAAGAACATTTTACATTTGGCTATAAATGTGCAAGTCTTTCTAAAAACCTGTTTTTGGTTTGTCATTATGGGGTATTGTGTGTAGATTGATGAGGGGAAAAAGTAAAGGGGTCTGAATACTTTCTGAATGCACTGTATACATGATTAAATACAAAATCTTAGAATCAACTATTAAAGTCTACCAGAACCCACTGGAATTACAGTGCATTCGGAAAGTATTCAAACACTTTGACTTTTTCCACATTGTTACATTACAGTCTTATTCTAAAATTGATTGTTTTTTCCCCCCTCATCAAGCTACAAACAATACCCCCTATTGCCAAAAAACTAACTGAAATATGACATTCACATAAGTATTCAGACCCTTTTCTCAGTACTTTGTTGAAGCACCTTTGGCAGCAATTACAGCCTCAAGTCTTCTTGGGTATGATGCTACAAGCTTGGCACACCTGTATTTGGGGAGTTTCTCCCATTCTTCTCTGCAGATCCTCTAAAGCTCTGTCAGATTGGATGGGGAACGTTGCTGCACAGCTATTTTCAGGTCTCTCCAGAGATGTTCGATTGGGTTCAAGTCTGGTCTCTGGCTGGGCCACTCAAGGACATTCAGAGACTTGTCCCGAAGCCACTCCTGCGTTGTCTTGGCTGTGTGCTTAGGGTCATTGTCCTGTTGGAGGATGAACTTTTGCCCCCAGTCTGAGGTCCTGAGCAGGTTTTCATCAAGGATCTCTCTGTACTTTGCTCCGTTCATCTTTCCCTAAATCCTGAGTAGTCTCCCAGTCCCTGCCACTGAAAAACATCCTCACAGCATGATGCTGCCACCACCATGCTTCACCGTAATGATGGTGCCAGGTTTCCTCCAGACGTGACGCTTGGCTTTCAGGTCAAAGAGTTCAATCTTGGTTTCATCAGACCAGAGAATCTTGGTTTCTTAGGTGCCTTTTGGCAAACTCCATGCAGGCTGTCATGTGCCTTTTACTGAGGAGTGGCTTCCGTCTGGCCACTCTACCATAATGGCCTGATTGGTGGAGTGCTGCAGAGATGGTTGTCCTTCTGGAAGGTTCTCCCATCTCCACAGAGGAACTCTGGAGCTCTGTCAGAGTGACCATCAGGTTCTTGGATGGAAACCTGCTCCAGAGCAATCAGGACCTCAGACTTGGTAAGAAGGTTTACCTTCCAACAGGACAATGACCTTAAGCACACAGCCAAGACAACGCAGGAGTGGCTTCGGGACAAGTCTCTGAATGTCCTTGAGTGGCCCAGCCAGAGCCCGGACTTGAACCTGATCTAACATCTTGGAAAGACCTGAAAATAGCTATGCAGTGACTCTCCCCATCCTACCTGACAGAGCTTGAGAGGATCTGCAGAGAAGAAAATGGGAGAAACTCCCCAAATATAAGTGAGCCAAGCTTGTAGTGTCATGCTGCCAAAGCTGCTTCAACAAAGTACTGAGTAAATGGTAAGAGTACTTATGTAAATATGATATTTCAGTTTTTTGTCATTATGGGGTATTGTGTGTAGATTGATGAAGGAAAAAATAATAATTTAATCAATTTTAGAATAAGGCTGTATCATAACAAAATGTGGAAAAGGTCAAGGGGTACTTTCCGAATGCACTGTATTTTGTATTTCCCTCAGATTACACATACCCACAAAGAATACAAAAAAAATCCAATTTTGATCAACTCCCATATCTATTGGGTGAAATACCACAGTGTGCCATGACAGCAGAAGGATTTGTGACCTGTTGCCACAAGAAAAGGGCAACCGGTGAAGAACAAACACCATT